AATTTTTTTTTTCCCTCGACTCTCGAAGGCGACTTTCCATCCTTCTGCTTTCTTCGGTCAGCGGATGCGTGACGATTGTGTGAATCAACGTCAAAATTCTTTGCTAATGGGCCGCTTACGGCGGAACACTAGCACGATCCTATGCATTGCCTTCCTTTAAATGAATTTACAATTTCTCGTTACGCGCAAATAGATCATTCAGATACCATCACCGACACCATCATTATCCTTGCAAGAAAATATCGCACTAGTTTTGCCATCTCTTTACATTATTATTTGTATACAATTCTGCGATTCAAAATTAAAAATATAATTTTACAAATATTAAAAATAATACATACACGCGCAATGTGTGATTTTACTTTAATTTTATAAAGAAATATATATAAATTCAAAGTGAAAAATATTATGTATTTTATGTCTGTGTGTGTGCATAAAAAGAATTTTTTAAATATAATTGATTATCGAATTACTCTGTATAATATTTTACAATTCTCTCGAAATTTATTTATATTATTATTTATATTTGTATTACAATTTTGGTATAAAATTTGTTCGATTATTTTACATGTGTATACATAATAATTTGAAGTAAATATTTGAATGAAAAAATTTTTATTTAAATATAATATTTCTTAATATTCTTAATATGACAACAAATTTTTATTTGATTGTTTTCATTTATGTGTAATTTATAAATTTGTCCAGTCCTGTTCTTCAAAAACGATATAAAATAGTACTGCAGGAAATATATAAAACATGAAATGAAATATTAGCCGATTCATTCTCTCATAATGGTCGACTCTAATCACATAATAACTCAATACTCATTCTCGTTATAATTTAATTCAAATCATTCTGTAACGTGGGACCCTTCCCATATATCGATCGCACCGAAAGAACTGGTAGAAAGACAGGGTGCAATTTTCGCGCGCTCCCTATAAGAAACCTCCGGATCGCCGAAATTATGTCCATTTATACGCGTTGTATGTGATTCTACCCGCCAATCAGACACAGCCAGGTTGCGAATACGATCGCTATAATGAATCATCTCCCTCATGTCATTTGCAGAGAAACCCCAAGTATTTAAACACATTTCCTCTGTAATAATATAATATAGTGTAACGCAATTCAATGTAAAATCAACAAAGAGAGATTTTGAACTTGTTTTGATTATGTTATATTTTGTTTATATAAAGAACACTATATATATTCTATTTTTGTATATTTTTTTAATTTGTATGCTTACAGTACTTAATTTTAATATATGTTTATTTTAATTTATATATGTTAAATTATTATATTCTTGAAATGTGTCCAAACTAATCATGTTCAAATCAAAAAATCAATCAATGTTCTTTTCTCTCTTTTGATTATTATATTATTTGATTATTATTTTGATTGCTTTATTCCTACATATATATTATAATATGTACTGCAATAAAATTTTTAGAAATATTTTTCTAAATAATAAATTATATTATATGACATAAAATATTTCTATCATCAGAATACTATCAGAAATTTAGCATATTTTTCAATGAATAAAAAAATAAAAGACATTATTATATTATTATCTCATTAATACATTATTATCTTATTTAAATCTGTTATAAATCTGTTTATTAAATTTTTCTGAATTAAAATTATAATATATAATAAATATACTCAAAATCTTGCAAAATCTTGTATACTATCTTCCAAAATATTTCCACAAATTTATTTCGTTGTACAATGGTATTTCGAGCATAAAGAGTTCTCTTTGCCGATTATAAAGAACCAGTGCAACAGTCTGGTAAGGACATTTCGATTAACTTCGCTGTAGGAGGTTTCAACTGCTATTTTTCTTCGGTATTGTAACTTTAGTCTGGAAGTACATTGGCAAAAATGGAGACAAAGCTATTAACCTTATTGTAATTCTATTAATAGAAATGATTGATACGCAAAAAAAAAACTTAAAATTTGATAATAATACAAAGTTACATTGCTTGCAATCATGTAAAGTGAATTTCCAACTTGCTTCATACAATCAATTAAACTAATCGAGCAATTTTATGATTATATCATTTAGATATTGTTACCTAGATATTGTTACCTAGATATTGTTATATGGTTTTATTTATACAAATCCTTCAAATAAGGTTCAAATTAGATTAGGTAAGAATTGCTTTAATTGGCGCGTTATAAAAATTTATAATTTGATTTGAAAATAATATAAAATGCGTCCTTAGTACTTTCTTGTAACTTTTGTTTGCTATTTATAGATTAACTGGAAATTTAATCGCATCCGAGAATTAGCCTAAAGTGTGTGAAACCTAATCTTTTAAGTTAATTTAACAAAGGAATAACACTTTGATACATTCACAAATCGATAGGTAATTCAAAACCAAATTATCGAGTAAAATTTCAAAATTTAGATAACGTACGAAGACGTTGTGCGACGTCTAACAATAAGTGACTCGTAAATTCAGCCCAAGAGAGACAAAAACAGGCTCGGGAATAAAGAGCAAAGCGCGCAAGAGGCAGGGATGAGGGTTGAACGATGGAGGGAGAAAGACGCCGCTCCCCGAGCAAAAATATCCCCCGTTAACGATTATCAGCTCCTCTTTCTGTCTCGCGCCTCGTTATATTGTGTCCCCGTCGCGCGCGCAAATTTAGAAACAAAAGACGGGTGGAAAGCGTCCTGATTGGCCGACCAGTCCCCGGCACCACTCTCTGATTGGCCCGCGGGACCGCACCCATCCTGTAATGGCCGCTTTGTCGTTCCACGCTCTGTGCTCTGTGTGTACGCGCCTGCACGCTTCAGGCAGCCTCGACAACCCCGTGCCGTCACGACTCTCTCCAATCCTCCCCTCCAGCCTTCATCCTACTTGGCCCATCAGCCAGCTACCCCTGCCGTTCACGGCGGCCGCCCTCTCTCTCACTCCTCGAATTATATCAAAATATAATCACCGACTATGCCGCGTACAGGTTTATTGCATACGTATGTATGTACGTGTATCCGCGCGCGCGCGCGCGCGTATATATGGCTGCACGCTCATTCACATATGTGCATACATACAGAATCGTGTCCGAGTCGTGGCCCGCGGGCCATTTTCTCCCACTACATACTCGCCACCACTTCCCCTAGTCTACGATGCGAATCGACAAGCGTGATAAGTTAGTGGTGGTGGGAATGTACAAGCGCGGTGCAAGGGGATTCTTAACCGAATCCACTTGGGCATCTCTGATGTACGATATACGTTTACACGCGATCGTGGCGTCGCGAATGAACATTCTATGCTCTAATACTTGATTCTCTCGTTTTTTGTCTCCTTTTCTGTGACAGAAAAGTGACGAATTACAATTATAAATATATATGTATATGTATTTGTGATAGTGCGGACATTTTGATGAAACTTTATGTACATGTAAAGGAGGGAGGATAGAAGAATTTAGAAATTTTTCAGTTGCTGTCCAAGCACTATTGTAAGGGATGAAACCATAGCTCATATGTAAAGCGACTTTCTTCGATATATCTCGAAAATTATTTGGGATATCAAAAAATGTTGTATACAAAAATTTCATGGTTAAAACATCTCTATTTAATCATATTAATAAAATTTTAAAAACAGTTTTTTTTTAAAAAGTCGGTATTGTGACATAGTAATTCCACTTAAGATTTTTATCGAAATTTCTTTCGAAGATTAAAGATATTTCTTTAAATCATATCCTCAATAATATTCACAAATTTTCTTACTATTATACTTACATATAGTTGCAGAGATGCTATGATAATGTAACTTGCGTCATATTCATGATTTTCATTAATTTCTATAAATAAAGATTATCGATATAACAAGTATTATAATGCGTCTTGTTTCCCATACATTGCATCTTTAAATAAAAATTAATATCAATTTTCCGAAGACCGCGCAAAGCAATTTTTTCTACCTTTATAAATTTGTTTGGACTAAGACATTTATTTAGACATTTTTGCATTTGCAATAATCTTGACTGAGATATCATCTATATATCAAAATTGTTTTAAAAAGCTTCTCACAATAGCTAAATAAAATAAAGATACAATATCTGATACATCTTTATGCATTTGCGTTAGATTCACGGGTGTTATTTCGAGTAGTATAAAAGAGAATCAATAAGAGAGAGAGAGAAACAGAGAAAGAAAATATCGATATAGGGGTAAAAAAAGTTAGAAAAGAAAAAAAAGAAAATAGAAGGCAGCATAACAAGAGGCAGAAAGGAGACATAAAGGAAAGAATGAAAAACTGGAAAAGAGAAAAGAAGAGAAGAAAGATCTTATTCCGAATCCGCCATGCGGATACCGATCTCAATCTACTATTCCATGGATCCGCCGTATAACTTAAACCATCTCTGAAAAATTCTCTTTTATAGTCTTGGTCATACTTTATTCTTGATAAACCATCGTCACGAAACCCTCGTTATGATCATTACATATTGTAAATTATTGTTTTTCATATTATAATATTATATAATATAATATTATAATATTATATAATATATATAATATTATATAATATAATATTATAGAATATGTATGCCTGAAATAACAGTCTTTATTATTGCATTCTAATTTTATTTGTAAAACACTGTTAGAGTACGATTTGTAGTTTATAAAAAATTTTTATATTAAAATAAAACATAAATATTTTAAATGAAACGCTAACGCATATAATATATAAATATTATTTTTCATATGACGTTCTTTTTATGAAATCGAATCAAATTGACATGATAACAGGGGGTATTTTACTCTTTGGAAAATTTTAAAAATCTCAAATTCTCTGGTATTTCTTTTGCATTTGGAAAAATTACAATTTTCATGGAATTTAAAAAAAAAATTATCTCTTTGATAAATCTGAATATATCTTTGATTTTATATTGTAAGCAGTTAGTAATAAGCTGTCGCTGTCTCGTCACAGTAAATAAAATTATTAAAATTTATATGCAAAAATATGAATGTTTCAATTCTTACTCACCTGTATCCTATCTTCAGGTAGATCGGTTCTCAGACTTAGCATCTCGCGAGCATAGACATCAGGATAATGGGCCTCCTTGAAGGCTGCCTCCAGCGCCTCCAGCTGCTGTGACGTGAAGATCGTCCTGGAGCAACAACCATATGAACCTAGTTATATGCCATTACAGCGCTTCTACTTTAAATCTACCCTATTCTTGCTAAAGACTATGACGTAAATAATATAACATTTTCTGTTTAGGAATTCACAATTGGAGATATAAATTTTTATCAGCTACTTGACTATGGAAAAGTTAGTATTTCATTTATTATATCGCAATATTCGCAAGACTATTGTGTTAGCACCTAACAATTTAAAATTGAGACTTGGAATTGGAAATATACGACATTGTCATTAAAATTGTATCGAATTACTAATATATACAATTTTTTCCCGGATAATATCCAATGGATATTTTAAATATATATATTTCGATACATTAATAAATATTATATACTTGATATGTATACATAAACGTTATAAAAACTTGATAGACAAATTGAAAATCATTATTTGAAACAAATGTTTCTATGCAGAATTACTTATTTTTCAAATCACAATTTGTTATGTCTGAGGATACTGCGTGTAATTAATATTTATATAAAGACAGTAAAGCAGACAATTTGGCGTTGATAGTATCTTTGATTATTGATTAATATAACCGAAATTGCATTAATTAAATTAATTAAATTAATTAAATTTTTATGGTAAATACTTGGTAAAAACTTTCGAAAAAGTTACATCTTATCAATCATTTTGATTTTCACATGTAGTGGATAGAATCCTGAATCATGTGTGCGTTTGATTCAAGTGCACACAGATTGAGAACTTTATCCACTAAAATATATCAATGAAAATCAAGTAATCGATGCAACCCTCTCGAAAGGTTCATTTTTTGTTAGCATCAATTCGCGATGGGCAGTCGCTAATCCTATTTCTTTAAGTGGCTGCAAGTACATATAATCCCGGCATTGGCTCTCGATTAATTATAAACGGAAACACGTTTTTCATCAATGATTTCGTCAATAGACATGATGTAGATATAAGAGACGAACAACCAGCCAGCAACCGATGATTACTTCGTTTCTTTTCTTTTTTATAAGCAAGATGCATAACTCCGCAATACGATGAACAGTTGATGATAGAGGAATATCCAGGCAAAAGACGCATATGTGCGTGATACGACAAAAACCGGAGAAGCGAATTTGACGGCAAGATGTCCAATTAGTCTTGCGATTCGACAAATTGTAGGTTGCGCGGAGAACGAGCTGGCATCTGCCTTCGTGGGCCGAACGAAAGCTTCGAAATTGAAAGTCATTTCCCGGATGATCATCGGCTCGTTAAGCGGACACGCGAAAATCGTCGACAATTTTGTCTCGGTTTTGTTGAATGCTTGTAAAGATTGCCGCGTAATCGTTTCAAATTCTTCCAGATTGATTTCGGATCTTCGAATGGAAACTGCATGTCACAATAAGCTATTTGAAATTTGTAACATTAGAAATTACTTTAAACATCCCAACCTGTATTTTTATTTATTATAATTAGGCTGAGAGATATATACATATCTAGAAAATTGTCCACATATATATAACTATTATTATGCCTAACTGTGTGGAAAATATAGTTAAATTTTGTTGCTAAGTTTATTCCGTGTTAAAATAATTTCATTTTTTAACGCGAACGAAACACATCCTATTTGACGATATTTCTACAGATAATAAAATATGTGATTTTACATTTTATTTTATTAAATAAAAACTGTCAATAATATTATAATTAAAAGTATTAAATGTATAATAAATTTTTATGTCGCTTGTTATTATAATGATTCATCCATCTTTACAAATGTCTAAGTAATTAATATCTCTAATGTAGAAGACATTACTGTTTCATGAATATATTTTGTGGACCCTATAATTATGGTGAGAATTGTATAGCTAAATTTTAAAAGTATAATTAAGTTTTCTATTCGTTAAAGCGCTGTGTAATCATCTTCCACAAAATATGTGATTGCATTTAGACATCTGATTTTACATCGTCAGCTGATTCAATTTCAATAACATTTATCGTACAATATAATGACAGAAAGAGAAGCGTTTGTAATATTTCCTTTACGTTTCCAGTTTCAGTTGAATATTAAAATTAAACCTTGTATCACTGCAAATTACTTTATTACTTCGAAATAAAAAATAAATCATAAACTATTATAATATAGTCACTATATAAAAGAAATTTTTATATCCTATAGAATTCAATTTCAAGTTAATAAACACAGATAATATTTTCGTAATTAAAAAGTATTAAATAGTCTTAAAAAAAGCAACATTCGAGAGATGGAAAACAGAGTGGCTGAAGTTTCTGTCAGAGACTCACCTATGACGACGCTTCTTCTTCTTCTTTTTGCTGAAACCCGAGAGTCCGTCCACTGTGAAATCCTTCCCTGATTCTATGTTGTGTCCGACACCTATAGTAATAAAAAAAAAAGCGTGAACATATATTATGTTTGCATAATTTTAAGAAAACGATAAAGTACGAAAGTATCTCTCTCTTTTTCATATGTGCCTATTGTTGTTGTTGTTATTATTATTATTATTATTATTATTATTATTATCATCATCATTATTATTATTATTATTAATATTATTATTACTCGTCTCAAATTTTTTTAATGAAAAATAAGAAATAAAAGCATAATTATAAAACATAATAATACATAATTATAAAACATAAACACAATAAATACGTACGGTTGAATTAATATTTGCGCGATACAAAAATCAGAGCGTGTCGAGATTAATATTTTACTGAATTCGCAGCTCATTATTTGATAGCATTATCTGTAATTGATAATTATACGGTTCTGTGTGCTGAAACCGCGCATGCATCGCGTATCAAATTACCTATTATACCAGACTTGACGATGATTCCCTGGACTCTGATATCAATCTGATATGCGCCTAAAAATGAACGGGTTTTATATTTCCGCGATTGCTTTTTCATTAATTCATTCTCTTCTCCACTTTATTTTACCTTACAATAAAAATGTCGACCTAGGAGAGGTGTGATTTAATTATTTTATTTCTGAATTAATTAAGTTATTTAACATAATCCTTTCATATAATAAATTTTTCTAATAAAATCATTCCTTTGTAAGATAATATTTAACATTATATATAGCACATGTTTAAACTTTTCTTAGTATTTTTAAGATTTATGAGCAATATATAATTGTTTTTTTATATAAAATTTTATACGAAAATTAAATTTGTATAAAATTTTTCATGTAAATCATTACTAAAAAAATTACAATATCATATTATATATTTTGCCACAATTTTATTATATGTATATGCATATAAAGAATTTTTTAACAAGTATAATTAAATTTTTTAATAAAAGAAATGCGAATATATACAGATTATTTATAATATATTAATTATAATATATATTTACACATTTCTTACGTTCGTATATCTATTTATTATATTTTTTATTCTTTAAATATAGTAGAAATATTATAAAAATAAAGTCTTTTAAACTTAAAAAAATTTAATTAATGTGAATTGTATCAGCGTGAATTAAATCAGTTTATAATTATCATCCATGCATACATTTTCATCGAAAAAACCACTGCAATGCTGCAATTAAGAGAGCTCGTAGTCTGTGAAATTTTTCTGAAATGCTTAAACGGTAATTTTTTCTAATACAGTGAATTAATACGGCGCCATGGTTACGAACAGAATCCGTTAGCCAAAAATAATCATCAATTGTAAATTAATGTTGAATTAACGAGCGAAAGCGGTGCCTGCGCGCACAATGAAGCTCTTCTCTAAGGGCGATTCTCGTTACTACTGTTCGCTGTCACCAGCATCACCGGTAGCTAATTAACTAGTAATTAAGAGCTTAATTCCAATTATGCGTGTCCCTCGACTAATTGGAGCCTGAAACGTTCGCTGACGTCACTATTAGTATATATATAGGAGATTGGTCGACAGCTTCATTCGCTTCAAGCTTTTTTCGACACTTCAATGACATATTTGCAGAGGAGTTATTATTCTATAGCACGCTTATTTTTCTCATTGTTATATGACATGTCCATAAGATTAAGCACAATGAATAAACAATATAAGTAAATAAAAAAATAATAAGTTTAGCTTCTCTTCTCTTAAAAAAACATTCATGAAGAGAGAAGGAAAAATGTTTCTATCGAAAATTATATAAACTTGTTTGAGAGAGTAGAAAACTAGAAATGATTGTAATAGAAGAGAAAAAAAGAAATTGGACATTATATAAAAAAGAATCAAAAAATTGAACTAATAAGAGTTAAAGCGTAATAATAGTGGTACAAAATGATATGTTATATAATAATTTTACAGGCAATTTTTTGTTAAAGTATCGAAAGTTCTATCTATTAATTCGATAATTGTCTTTTTGTAGTAAAAAAAAGAATATAACGAATATATATAAGAATACGATGCACATAAAATTAAATCAATTAAAAAATGTAAATTTATCATTTAAATTCAAATTCAATAATGTCATTTCAGATAATCATGCCAATCCAGAAAGTTAAATTTTATGGGTACTTATTTCAATCAAATTGTACAATCATTATATTATGAACTAACTCTCCCTACATTTTCATTGCTTACGACGTTCTTCTTTTTATTTTATTGTCAGATATAATAATTGAATAGATCAATTCTAGATTAAATTCTAAATTTAATTAAATTATTAAGTATTATTAAATTTATATCTTTTCGAAAAAATTTGTGTTACAATCAAAATTTATATATTATACTAAATATTTTATTTATATATTTACAGTATATTTATAGTATACATTTATAATATTCATTTATAATAAATTTCAGTGATTAATAGATATAATGTAGACAAATTCCAATTACTCTGTGTATATCATTGGATAGAAATCTATGCAGATTTGTATTTACTGACAGTTGTATTCTCAACGAGAATGAATTTTATTGCGAAACGTTTAGACGGATATTCATTCCGAAGAGGAGTTTGTGCTTCTTTATTATTATTATTGCGAATCAATGTGGATCTCTTTTTTTACATAAATTATTACGGTCGAGAACGCTCAATTGGCGCATGCGGCCAAGTGCATTTTGTACATAGTACATAAAACAGTAAGAGAAATGGCGGCCAAGGAAAGGAAAAATAAATATTTCAAGCTCAGGGTATACAGCAATGTGCGATGCATTGTACTTACTGCTGTAAAGAAGCCTCTTTACACCCCTGATTCTGCTTCTTGTTTTCTGTATTTAAGTGCGCTCATTTACTTTAAGATGCCGAATCAATCATCCTGCTTGCAGAGATTAACATTGCTTTTAAGTAAATATTTTTAAATGGCATGGAAAATCTTATGTTTCTTTATGTTAAAAAAATTGTGTCAATGAATAAAAATGAAAAAGCAATATTATAAAAAGAGATGAGATGTTTGTTGCTATTTAAGCAAGAAACCAGCGAATATTTTATATATATGATTTGTTTTTTTCTTAATAATTTATTCAAAAGAAATGCTATGTATAAACTTTACGATCACAATAATGGTAACTACAAAGAGCAACATTTTAAAAATTATATAAGTATATATAAGTATTAGTTTTTCTTGGATTTATTAAATATATAATAATATTACCATTTTTTGTATTTATTAATAGAATATAAATCATACCACAGACTTAAGGATTTATAATTACAAAGAATGTGTGATTCAAAGTTTAAAAAAAGTTTAAGTTTAATTATAACTATTTATTTATGATCTTTAATGATTATTTTCATGACATATGAGTAATTAAAAAAACCTGATATTCTCTTAAGTATAATGTTATATATTTTTAACATATCCATATATCTGTTTATAAATGACATCATTAACCTAAACTTTATGCCCAATTTATTATTTGCTAATACTAGTCTCCACAAATCTTGATATTAACTAATTTCACGGATCACAGACTTAATTTCAATTTAAAATCAGAAATAGATTTGTATGGATTAAATTAGTTTTTATCGGGGGGGTGGAAGTATAGGAGAAGGAGCAGAGTCCCTTCATCGCCCATGTATTTACTTTACAATAAAGTAAAATTATAAAATACATGATTTAGAACTTTCTGCAGAAAACTTGAAATAAATGAATACGATATACTTGCATATTTAAATCTCAAAATGAATTTAATCTAATGAATAACTTAATGACGAATATTTAATAATGATAAAAATCTTTTAAAAGTTATTAAAAATCATGATCTTCAAAATATATGTCAAGATTAAGGCTGTTAGACTAAATCCCCTTTTCTAAAAAATTTATTTTAAAGTCGTGTAATTCAAGAACGAAAAGAGAACGTCACAAAATTCAAAGCGGGTATTTAGAAATGCACCCTGTACAATATACATATATCAAAAAAGAAGTGATCGGTAAAATATAAGTTAATGTCAAGATTGATCTTAGCCTCGTAAAACCCATCAAATTAAACACTCGAGAATTTCGAAAATTCTTGGCATTCTCTTGCCTTTGAAATAGAATTTACAGATTTATTCACTACAATCATACATTACATATATATCTCTAAGTGCTCGCGTTGCTTTCCCATAAGTTACGTGAATATTAGCTGCGCATCCATTAAAAAGTCGACACTCCGAGCGTTAAAACAGTGATAGAGCTTCCTAAAGTGTACTCGTGCTACCCGCGGCTCCAGATACACCCCGAGAAGATATACATGAGCGCCACGATCGGAGCGCGAGCGAAAAGCCAGGAGGGGAGGAATGTGTGTAGAAGGCCTGCGGAGAGGGTTGCCGACAATCGTAGGGTAATGGTGTGCGTCAACCGGGATGGTGGTGCGTCAGCGCGCGCGTGTTGGTACCAGGCCGGTTACCAAGCAACCAACGGTAAGGAGCGTGGATGGCCAATGGCGGCCCTCAAAATACCCCTTCGTCTAACACGGCTTGTTTCCTGTGCCAAAGAGCGAGACAGAAACAGGTTTTCGCTTTAGTAGCTGTTAAGGTCTTAAGCCCCGCGTCTCGGATCGCTCGTTTCGAAACCCGGTCTCTCTCAGAGCTCAGCTTTCTCTAGCCTTCCGGATAATTGATATTCTAATCCGATCTGCTGTGCGCAGATGATTGTATTTCTTATCTGAAAAACCAATTGCTGGAGCGTGTGTTCTTCGATGTTTCGATAGATATCGAGGAAAGGGAAAAAGGTCTACATCTACTAAGGAGGATAATTAAAAGAGACTCTTGAGAAAACAAAATTAACTTTAAAATATAAGGGGCGATCTATAAAATATTTAAAATATTTCAAGTATCTTATTTATCGATTCTTCGTTTCTCACGTATATCTATAAAACTAATTTAATCCTGATGAAAAAAAACATACAATAATATAAAAATAATATAAAAATAAAATTTTGAATGTCAAATATAATTATATGCAAAGAG